AGGAGGAATGTCGCCCAGAGGTAGCAATCAACACAACTCAGCTCACGTCTGACGAGGACTGGAGACACCCAATCGTGAAATACCTACAAGACGGCGCAGCGCCAGAAGACGCTAAGGAGGCATGGGCCCTAAGGCAGAAAGCGGCTCGCTGCACGCTCATCGAAGGAGAGCTGTATCGACGGTCATACGCGGGCGTCTATCTTAAATGCATCGGGCAATAAGAGGCGCACGGCTTGGTGCGCGACCTGCACGAAGGGTTGTGTGCAATGCACGCTGGGCCACGCAGCATGGAACGTACCATCTTGATGCATTGATACTACTGGCCGCGAATAAAGAAGGACACGAGGAGATACGCAGACCAGTGCCACAAATGCCAAATTAACGCGGGCTAGAATCACATACCATCCACCGAGCTTCAAGGCAACCTGAGCCCATGGCCCTTCGCGCAATGAGGAGTGGATATCTTGGGTCCCTTCCCAACGGCAAAAGGAAAGCGCAAATACATTATTGTGGCAGTAGACTACTTCACCAAATGGATCGAAGCTGAAGCACTAGCTTCGATAACGGCGCAACAGGTGACGCGCTTCCTGAAGAACAACATCCTGTCGCGCTTTGGAGTCCCGAACGCGCTCATCTTCGATCATGGGAAGCAGTTTGACTGCGCAGAAGTGATAGATTTCTGCGACCAAGTAGGAACCATCGCAAGGTTCGCATCGGTAGCTTATCCCCAAGCCAACGACCAAGCGGAATTCGCCAACAAAGCAATCCTGCACGGCTTGCACACCCGCTTGAACGATGCCAAAGGTAATTGGGCGGACGAGCTCAACACAGTGCTATGGGCGCACCGCACCACGTACAAAGTGGCAACGGGCGAAACCCCTTTCGCCCTTACATACGGCACCGACGCGGTAATCCCCATAGAGACAACAACCCTGACCTATCGAATCATGAGGTACAACAAAGAAACCAACGATGAAGCGCGTTTGCTGGACCCGGAGTTGTCACAGGAAAGGCGCGAGTTGGCAGCAATCAAGCTGGCCGCAATGAAAGAGCAGGTAGCCAAGTACCACAACGCGAAGCTGGTTCTACACAAGTTGCGGCGGAACTTCCGTCCCGACCCCAAGCACGGAAAGCTCGCCTTAGTGTGGGAGGGTCCATACCTAATCCGCGAAGTGGTCGGTGCCAACACCTTCAAACTCAGCGAGTTGGGGGGCAACAAGATACAAAGAACGTGGAACGCGCAAAATCTCAGAAAATATCACCAGGCAACTTAATATGTATTTTACTCGCTATGGCGCTTTGTCGCAAAGGAATGAAATGTACCCAGTTAGCAAGAACAAAAATTAGCAATAGTCATGCACTATTCGCGCCCACACAGTTCGCAAGAACAAAAATTAGCAATAGTCATGCACTATTTGCGCCCACTCAGTTCGCAAGAACAAAAATTAGCAATAGTCCCGCACTATTCGCGCCCACACAGTTCGCAAGAACAAAAATTAGCAATAGTCATGCACTATTTGCGCCCACTCAGTTCACAAGAACAAAAATTAGCAATAGTCCCGCACTATTCGCGCCCACTCGGTTCGAAAGAACAAATAATAGCGATAGTCATGAACTATTCGCACCTACTCGATTCGAAGGAACAAACAAACACATTAACAAATAAACGCCACAAATGAAGACTCTTTGGATTCGATTAAGCGGGAGCATCAACATTGTTCGCAACTACACTTGATAAAAAAAAAGAGGGAAAAGAAAATAAGAAAGGCAACAAAGCAACAAACTCAAAAAGGAAACACGTCAGCGCGATAACACTTAAGCACCATCAGTGTCAGGCTGAACATCCTCTCTACTCTGCTTGCGGCGCAGCAAGGGCTGAACATCCTCTTCCTCGTCATCATCAGCTTTCTCGCCATCCCTACTCGCTCCCTCAGCCTTCTCCCCGTCCGGGCGCTCCTCCTCTTCCCCATCCTCATCCCCTGACTCGGAGTCAGACTCCAAGGGCCGCTTCTCGCCAATCCACATCTTGACGTGTTGGACCATTTTGCGAGTATCCCAGCGAACCCCCGGGTTCTCTGGCCGAACCTTCTTCCCGACTGCGATCACGGCCTTGGTCATGGCGGCCGCCAAAATCTTCCCGAAAGAGGGAGAAGACTTGAACTAACGAACGGCCGAAACCTCGGCCGTGCGAACAGCTTCCGCTTTCGCGACACTGTGAAGGTGGACCAGGTCGTCCTTCTACTTTTGAAGCTCTTCGCGAGCTCACTTCAGCTTCTCAGCGTAAGAGGCCTCCAGCTGTTTGCGGTTGGCGGAGCGCTCCTAGACCCGCACCTGCTCTTTAGCCGCCTCCACGTCGATAGCCAACTTGCTCTGCAGGACGTCGAGTTCCTCCATCGCCTCGTTGGCTTTATTCGTTGCCACGTCGGCATGATTGTTCGCCCCAACAACCTTCCCCTCCAGCTGGACGATCTTCGCCTCGTCGGCCTTCATCCTTGCGCGCTGCGATGCGCTCTCCTGTTGAGCCCGGAAGGTCGCCAACAAACCCTACAACCACAACGCTAAAAGACTTAGCAAAACATTGCATTCAATAAAAAAAAAGATAAGATAACTTCGAACTCCGCGAGAACTCAACCCGATCTTACCGCGAAGTGGACCTGAGCCAGGTCATGAAGGGGATCAGACTTCTCCACTCGCGACGGAATACTTAGGACAGGCCCGAGCGCCCGGAGTGCGGTATTCGCGGACGCCAGATTGCAAGCCGCCCCGGTGTGAATCCGCACATCGTGGAAGTAGTTGACAGCAGCGGTGCCGGGAGCCGCAGTGGCGGGAGTCCCCCCAAAGCCACCCATCTCGGGCAGTTTCTGCTGGACGGTGGCCCCCGACGATCTGCCAGCCACCTCTCTCTCAGGCTGAGAAGGCCTATTCACCGGCGCCTCTGGCTCCGAAAGCGCCAGAGATAGCTGCCGCACCGCAGATGACGGCCGTTCCGCTTGTGGGGTCTGCGCCGTCCGCGCAGTTGGTTCTGCCAAACGGGGCTTTTCAACTGCCAGTGGCTGCTCAATTTCCTTCCGCTTCGCAGTCCTCGACACCGCGTTCATCTTCTTCTTCTTCTTGTCAGCGCGCGGCGCCTTCACGACGTCGTCAACCGACATCATGCTAACCAGGCTGGAGAAGTCAACACCTGCACCAATAAGTCGTAAGAGAGCGGTTAATATGATAGAATGCAAAAGAAAAGAAATACAACTAACCATCGTCAAACAGCTCCTCCAAACAAGCCTCATGGACTCCCACCGCGTATAAATTGATCCTATGAGACATGCACGCCTCATACTCATTGTTGAGCCCGTCATAGTTGCCGGCATCCGACTCATATTCGAGCGTGCTGCCTTTCTTCCAGACAGTAGGCTCCTCCACAAAATCACTCGCCCACTCTCCGGGAGTGGGCTTGACGTAGAAAAAGCGCTCGAACCAAGTTTTGTTTAACTTGGGCGATCCATACACGAAGCCGTCGGGCCTCTTGTCGTGACGCTTGATGGAAAGGCAGTCGCTTCTTGTTGTTGGCTTCTTGATTTTATAGATCTTCCGGAACAGGCCTTAAGTCGGCTCGATGTTAAGCCTTTTGCACGCGAGGCGGAGACAGCTCGCGTGCATGATCACAGACGGGGAGAGCCGCCCAACGGAGCATTTAAGGCGCCTATACAAAGCGCATAATAGCGGGTCGATGGGGAACTTGAACCCCATCACCCAATACTATGTATAAACGTCAAACCACCCCGGGGGGCAATTGCCCACCATGCTTCGCGCAGAAGGAGCGGCGTACTCCCAATGGGGGGGGGGGGGCAAGCCCAGTCCGCGGACTATCTCTGCCACGTCACCAACATCGTATATAGAGGCGTGTTCGGGCCCGCGCTTGAGATTGTCGTGCGGCGCCGGCTGATCGCCCCACATCTCTGCCCATTCTATAACAGTATAAGCGGCGCCAACACCGCGTAACCCTAGTCGGGCCATGGCCTCTGATACCGCACAACATGATGCGGCTCTGATTGTGCGCCAGAGTCTTCGCGCACTTCATCGTTGGCAACCCCTGGCCTACCATCACGATCACGCCGGATTATCAGCACCCCCACGAGCTCCTTGTCTCGCATGCCCGCTCCCGGAGGCAACCATACCCACGTCGGAAGAACCGCCGAGGTCATTCTCCGACTTGACGTCGAACGACGGCGTCGCCGGAATCCCTTCGTCACCGCCGCCGTCCCCATCACCGGAACTGCCCAATTCCAGCGAACGATCAGTAGAAGTGTGCGAAAGAGGGGAGAGATTACCTTCTTCGCCTTGTACGACCTCGGCCTCGTCGATGTTGATGCTAGCCATGATAATAACTCGAGTTTTAGCAACAGCAAAAGGAGAATCGAGGTTGTAGCAGAAGGAGAGGAATCTCGGAGAAGGGATGAACGAAGAAACAGGAAGCAGAGTCGAAGGAAACAGATGAGTCCCACCCCACCACAGCAAGCCCATATTTATAGTCGGCCAGGGGAAAACGAAGGGTTAAAGTCACATAGGGATCCGTAACCGTCAGATCCTACCAAATTTTTTCGAATTTCAAAAAATCCCCGCCCAAGTAGCCCAATCATACAGGGACACGTGGACACCTACCATCATAGGCACTAGTCGATGACGCCACAAGTGCCGCGCACCGCCTAGGGGGCATGACACACCCGCGAGGAAGAAAAAACACACCCCAAGCCCAACTTCGATCGCGCACAAAAATCAAATAATCGCGTGATGAGTACAACCTCAACTGCACAACAAGTGAATAATCCCATGGAAACCGCGCGATTAACACAACCTCAAGCGCAAGCGTCGCGCGTAGCTCAAAGTAACGCGCACAATGAGCGTGAAGAATCCCACAAAAACCGCGCGATCAGCACGACTCCAATCAGGCGGAGATCAGCGCGATCGGTAACGAACCCGGAAAATTTACCCCGCGGAGATCACGCAGGCCCGAGTCAATCAAGCGGAAATCTAAACAGGTGGTATTCACAGAACATCCCCTGATGGGGGGCAATTGTTGGGCATGTGACTCGGACCTAGCCGCGCCAGAGGAACGCACCGACACTACCCCAAATGCCGCCAAACCCGTTAGGACGCGACGCGACCGAAGACCCCAGCGCGGTCCAGCGCGAAAATCCCAGCGAGCGCGACACTGTGAAGGCGGACCGGCGCGAAGACCTTGAGCGCGGCACAGGCTACGCGCACGTGGAAGGGTCAAAGCGTGGACCAGACCAAATAGCCGCAGAAAGCGTCGTCTCGCTTCCCGAGGGGTAGTCACATCAGGGTCCCAAGCACAGTCATAGGTAAGCCTCTGACATGTCCTAGGTATAGGCATGGCCTAAATCCCTGACATGTCAGTGGTCATGTCAATGTACCATCATGTAGCTCGACCACTCACCCACCACCATGTAGCCTATAAATATGGCATTTACTCCGGTGGGTGAGGAGAGGATTTTTCGGACTCTATCTCGAAAAGATCGACTTCTCTCTCTAAAGACTAATTCTCTCATCCCTGTTTCTGAAGATCTTAGTTCTACATCAATACAGTCTATTTTCCTTGCTTACCTCCCTTGACCCACTTTCTTTCTCGAACCTCACTCCTACACTCAGTTAGGTTCAAACAGTTTGCATTACCGGGTCATGCTCCGGTTTGATTCCGACAACATTGCTTATTACACTATTGTCATTATATTGTTGGATTACAAGTTCATCAATAATTCCTTCGTGTTTTACTTTGAATAAAAATCCAACTTTATCTGTTTTCTTTAAAATAATGGTTTAATAGTTATTACACTTGCATAGCCATAACTTTCGAGATTTTGACAATAATAGCCACTTTTCGAAAAATACACAGTTGTAGCCACCTTTAGGAAACTCGTTTGACAAAATTAGTCATTTTCGTTAAAAACTTTAACACCGTTAACACGAAGCTGATGTGGATGCCACCTCATCTCCCACATCAGCTCCAACATACCAGGTCACATGCTACATCACTGCCATATCATATTTTTAATTAAAATGGAAGAAAACTTTTGAATTAAAATAAAAGAAAAATGAAAATGAAATCCAAAACGCAATCCCCCAACAACCACTGCCAACCTCCATCTGCGATGGCCATTTTTGCCGTATGCTCCTCAAATCCCTTCTCATCCTCCTAATCTCGTCCATCACCGTTGTCTATTCATCTCCCTCGATCTCTCCCACCCTCCACCCACGTCTTCCACTACCAGAGCTAGGACGACTTGAGTGCACCAAGTGGGATCCCCGTCGGCCGGTCCTCGTCTCCATTGTCGAAGGCGGCGTCGGCGACCTGACCGGCAACTCATTGCTCGAGTTGGTCGTCGACTGTCCGAGGAATCGGGTTCTAGTCACCTCCCGGTCTCTTCCTTCCCCTTTCTTCCTTCTTTTCCCACTAGGGTTTCTGGGATTCAAATTAATTTGGGAGTTCAGATATGAAGTCAGAAGAAGGAGGGGGATTTGGAGATCTGCCGTGAAGTTGTGGGCACCGCTATGGCGGTGGATTCCTCTGTTCCCAGAACATCGGCGGGTAAGGATGCGGAATCGGAGTCTCCATCGACATCTTCGTTCTAATCACCTCCATCACTCTCACCTCCCGCTTCTGTACCCGCAACACCATCACTCCTCTGTCGCTTTTACAGATCCATAGAGCTTGGAGGTTGTGTGCGATTTTGACCAGATCTGGAATAGGAGAGCAGCTGCAACGAAAACTGAAACGAGCAGCCCTCGTCAATTCCTTCCCTCTCCGCTGTGTTTGGTCGATTGAAAGGGAGAAGAAGGGTATGAGTATATGGTTCTTACTGACCCGCTTTCTCAAATTGGCTTCGAGCTCTCACGGAACCACCGTCGTCACTTGCTCCCTAGAACAACCACCGCAACCAATTGGAGACTAGGGTCATTGATTCCATAATACAATCCACCGAGAGATGCGAGGAGGTTAGTCGCGGAGAGGGAGATGTATAGGTGGAGAGAGGGAGAGCGATCTGAGAATCGTCGACCCGCTCCTCCTCCTTCCGCACCAACCCCTTATACCTCTGTTCTCGCCTTCCCCGAGCTGCCTAGGATTTTTGAATTGTGGAATTTTTGTTCCATTGGTTTTGTATATTGGAGATTTGTGGAGAAGAGTAGATGAAGCGGCGACGGGAAGGAATGCCATGGCAGCAGCAGGGAAGGTCAAGCGGCGATGATATACATTTCTCTTTTATTATTTTTAATTGTTTTTTCTTTTTCCATTTAATATTATAATAAATAAGTCATTTCCAACTTGGCAAGATCAAGATGAAAAGTCAGCCACATCAGCAAGTGACGTTAGTCCAGTCAGCATGTGTCACTGTTCCGTTAAACTAATGGACGAAATGGCTATTTTAGTGTAATATTCAAAATTTGGCTATATTTGTCAAAACGTGCATAGTTATGGTTATGCAAGTGTATTAAACCTAAAATAATTGGAGATGAATATTGTGTTAAATACATGGTGGTAGTATTGTTTTTTTTTCCGTTGAATATTGTTTTTTTTTTCAACATTAACTACTCCTTATGATAAATCTGAATTTTTTTCTTAGATAATAAAAATTTATTAGAATGAAGGATTTTGTTTGCCGCAAAATCTACAAAATTATATACACCGAAAGATATTTAGTTGAACACAATGGTATCCTCATATTTAACATTATGTTAATAGCTCACCCACAAGTCACAAGGTAACCTTAGTAAGTTAGTTAACAAATTAATAAACTCTACTTTGAAAATTTCTCTGACTTTTCCTTATATTCCTTGCCTCCTTGGAGCGTCATTACAAAAAAAAAGTTTAGCTGGAAACCGTATGAACCCAACAGAGAATCCGGAAAATCAAATACATAGCTCCCCTCCACTTTCGATCTCATCTTTGAGAATAAGAGGGTCATATTCGTCAATTGATGACGTTTAAAACAAGTAGCCGTTATGGCCAACTTGTGAGGCGCCAACGTGCCTTAGTAGCGGACCTACCAGAAGGTAAAAAGGTTGTAGTTGTAGCACTGGATTCGGGCCTGTGCTTATATGGAACTTAATGGGCCCAATCCAACAAAAATAGGATAGCCTTGCAGCCCTTGCTTTCCCGACCTTCTCTTTTCTTTAGGCCTAATAAATCTCATATCCATAGAAAGAACTAATTAGGCCTGTGTGTTGGCAATGAAATAGCACATAAAAGCAACGAGGTCCTGGATTGGGCTTTCTAGAAAACCGATGGGTAGCTTGGGTGTGATTGGGCCCTTCTATTCCTCGGATCATTCACTAATACGTAGGATGGCAATTAAACATATGGCCGCGGGTATCCGACCACTCCCGACGCAGCCAAGGTGGGAAATCCCTGCAATGACTGGGTATGAGGCGAGTATGGGTAAAATCCGCAAAACATTCCTCATACCCATACTCATACCCGCCCCACCAAGAGTATTTTTTCACATATAAAAAAATATACATGGTTCAAATTGTAATCAATCAATAATAGTGAGGGTAACTAGAAATGCAATTGAGTGACCGCCCAAATCAAAACATAATTCTCTTTTCTCAACTCTCTCTTCACTCCAGGGGCGTAGCTAGTAGCCAGAGGAGGGGGTGCCAATGCACACCATTGCTTTGGGATCAACAAAGGCAAAATAAATATATGTTGGAGAGAGCTCATTAAAATTACACCTGTACTTGTGGTTTTGGACATTTAGTAGTTGGGACAAAAAAATATTAAAACAAATACTTTTATCCAAAAAGTATTGAAACGATAACAAATCAATCCAGTAATCAAATTCTCTTCCAGGCTTCTTTCACTACAAAAGGTAGCCTATAGGTAGCATCATCCCACCCTAATTGACCAATTTTCCATTATCACCGCCCAAACCCGTAGGTTGAGATTGTCATTGTGGCTTTTTATTGTTATTGTCCCGAATCTAATTGAGTTTTTTCAATTAATTATTTGATTACTTAGTTTTTTTAAATATGTAGTTTTTACCATGGAGAAATCTTGATAAAAAATGGTCAAAACAGCTCCAAATGTTCAAGGGCATGAAGTTAATTCCTCAAATGCACCTACATTTAACTCTAACTCGACTACACCAGTACTGTTACAACAATCTCTCCCGGTAAACCATTTTAAACTTAGCTTCAGATTTAGGGAAGCGAACTTAACAAAAAAATTTAAATCGGCACCCCCTAAAACAAAATTCTGGCTACGCCACTGCTTCACTATTTCACTTTTTTCCTTGTGTTAACAATATTATGTTAGTTACTCATTACTTAGTTGAAGTATAAGAGACAGAGAATAATGATTTGGATTACATCATACTTTATCTTAAGGACTAATTTATATTTTAGGATAAGATGCTTTGAAGCGTATTAAGAATGATAATCTCTTTATCGACTTCATGATATAGTAGGTGTTTTTAATGTTAGGAAAACTTACATGTAAATTTTTTTATATTATAATGTTGGATTTACGGGGCGGGTATTACCCATAGGCACCCAAAACCCACGGGTATGGGAATGGGTTTGCAAAACCTTCCCCACATGGGTATGGGGCGGGTATGGGTTTGGAAATTTGAAAGCAAACCCTCCTCATTGTCATTCCTACTAATACGTGGTTAAATAAACTTAGGGGTCGTTTGCTTCAACGATTTGCATCATGGATTTGGTACAAAAAAACCAACCATCATGGATTTACACACAATCCGTTGTTTGCTTTGTCAAAAAATGTTTAGATAAATCTGTAGGCCCCACAGATTTGTTTTTTTTTTTGCTCCAAATCCATGGGCCCCACGACTTTATAAATCCCACCTCATACCCTAGGATTTGGAGACAAGCTGAAAAACTATGCCCATCTCATCAAATCCATGATAAAAATAGCTCAACAAACAAAGGATTTCCTCAAATCCATAATGCCCAAAATCCCTAATAAATCCCAAGGTTTTTAATTAGCAAATCCATGACAAAACCCTCGTTATAAAATCTTTGAAGCAAAAGACCCCTTAGGGCTTGATTGCTTGATGGATTTGGTGATAGATTTGAGTTCATGATGGGCTTTGTCCAAATTTTTTTGTTTGCTTCAAGTATTTAGAGAAGTTGTTTCTGCCAAGAAACAAGACGGGCACCGGGTCTGTGAAAAGGGCGGGGATGGCCCCCATTATCTACACTCCGACGATCAACATTAGTACAATGATAGAGAAATAAGGAGATCTTAGGTAGAGAGAAATTGTAGAGAGATAAGTGATATGCCAAAGTGAGAAGAGGAGCCGTAGAGGTCCCTTACTTGAAGGACCTAAGAGCATATTTATAGGTAAAACTTTGTGATATTTTGATGGGCTTCAGTTGGGCCTTGTGGTGCTTTGTGGGCTTGGGTCCATATGTGCCTTCCAGACCATATTTACTATTAGGCTGGGCTATGCCATA